AATTATTTTGTATATAAATGTAAAATAAGTAAGACGTTTTCTTTCAGAGGTACTTTTTAAAATGCATAGATATTTGTCTTAGCTTTTTCTTGTTATTTCCTGTATAAAATATGCATTGAAAAGTATGAATTATTTTATATATTTTTTATATAATATATATGTATTGTTGTTAATTGTAATATTATACGTCGTTTCAGAGCTCTGTTCCCGTGAAAGCGACCGAATTTAAATCTATTTGTCACATTAATGTGGCCAATTAGACAGACATGCGGGTTATATAGCTGGTAGGGCTGGCACTGATTATATCATTATTTATTAATAAATTTAAAAATAATGTTTTTTATTAATTATGATTTAATATTAAAGTGTATACGAAAATTATTCAACATTAATTTTTTTTTTAGAATCAAAAATGATTTGTTTTCTCATAGCATGTAAGTATAAAAAATTTGTTATTTTGGATCTTTTTGGAGCCTAAAAATTTTTTGCGAAAAAATGTTATTAATTTTGTGTAAGTGACAACCCTATCGAGCAAGGGTTGCCGCGAAACAGTCGCGGGTTCGTTACACGAACAATTGTACGTATAAAATGTTTAATTGACCCTTAATTACATCTCACGTTCATAATACGCGTTTTTTTTCGTCAAATCAAATGAGTCACGGCTTACGCGCATATTTTATCTTCTGCATGACAATACATATATAAATACTTATATTTTAATTTGTATATTTGTTTATTTAATTAATATGAATTTTTGACTTGTTAATAATCAATCTTATTAATAGAATTCAATTTTATTATATTATAATCAATTATTTATTTACTGTAGATTAAAATGAATAAAAATATCTTGGTGAATATTTATAATAAATTTCTTTCATTTTTATGCGAAAAAAACAGTATTATAAACAATTTTCTTGGGAAAAACTTTAATTTGTATTAAAAAAATGACAATAGATAAACAAAAAAAAATATTTTCGACATCCTTTTATTTAGTTCTCGGGATAGAAATAACCCTTTTAAATACATATTAATCGTAATAAAAATCAATTTATGATATTTTTCTACGTAATAGTTTTTTACTCACATTCTTCTACACAATACAGCCTTTATATAAATAGTCAATGTTAGAATTGCAACGTCATCTGATTAAAGTTTATAACCACCCTGTATATAAGGAAACCATTCCAGTACTGTGTTATGTAACTGGAATATTATCTTTTTAGTATATATACATATATACATATATGACCTTTATCGTCTTAAACAAAGTTGCAACTTCAAATTCTTTACAATATTTTAGATACCCTATGTATCTTTGTATCAGGGATAAATATATGATAATATTATTTAATGTTATACATGACTTCATTAGTAGAGAAAAGAGTAGTTTTAGCTTGATATAAGCCCAAGAAAATAAATTATTTCCTTTCTTGGACTTTTTTGAAAAGGAAACACAAGTTTTTCCCAATTTAAAACATTTAGCCAAAATGCCTTAATAAGTTTTTATTATGATTTATGCTCTTTTTAATCTTGTGGGGAAAATATTCATTATATGCATGACATTTCAAGTAGAAAGAGTTCAGTCAAGAAGAATGTTACCAATTATTATAAATGGTTTAATTTTAGAAAATGAGACATTTGGATGGTTAAAACTTCTACCACTGATCAAACATTCTCTCCAGTCAGTTTTCATATCAACCAAGATATAACACAAATATTATATAGATTAAACAATAAAAAAAATCTCTATCAATTCCAAAAAAAGTTTTTATATACGTGTCAAAAGAGGTTGTATTAAAACATTTCTAAGCCGAATTCCTACACAAGCTGTGCCCTTAATACATCGAGTGCTGTAATCTGTTTTAAGCTGGTTTTAGAGCCTTCCGGTCAACGTCACCTTTGCTCTTATTGTAACCAGATTTAACAACGCGCCTCCCTTACTAGCAGATTTGAATGGAGCTGATTTATGACGTCATCTATATAGCAATGACGTCATTAGTTAGGGCGTACGTCATTAATGTCTATTTGAATTAATGAAGTAATCTTAATTTTTTTCCTAATTTTAAATAGCGAACAAAGCCTATAAAATATGAATATATAACTATTTGTTTATAACAATATTATTGAAATAATTATTAATAGGAGAATTTATATTGTTTTAGTTGGACTTAAAATTAGGCTATCGTATTTTGCATCATAGAAAATATATTATACTCGAAAAAGGTTCAAAAACTATTATACTAACATAACCAATACGTCATATTATTCAACAGGGAACATGTTGACGCGTGTCAATAAATTAATCTCGTTATTAACTTAACAAGTTAAACGTATCATTTAACTGTAAAGTGAAACAAACTTAACTTAACCCGATCAGTAAGACATCCCCGATACGATTATTCAGAATCTTCGACTTGCGAACTTTGTGGTACATGGCTAATTAAATTCAACATTTACAGTCAATTAGTAACTCTATATAAATATTATAAGGTTTATATTTGATTGCTAATTGTTTAATCGTAGTTTTTTCTTCTTCTTCTTCTACCTGGCAATTTCCCAGCTATAGCCAGGGTCTGCCTTACATGTTATGAATAGTTTTTGGCTATTTGTTTTTTTTACGACCGGCCGCCTGCCTGACATCAACCCACTTTTGGGAACCAACATTAATCAGTGATGTCTAAACACTCTTAGAAAGTACATATGATTCGGAAAAATCACATTGGTACTTGCCCGGGCCAGGATCGAACCCGCGCTCTCGGCGACGAGAGGCCGAGAGGCGGGCCCTTTAACCACTGAGCCACCACTGACTTATAATCGTAGTTTTTTGTGACTATATAATGTATATATATTTATATAACGGGCTCTAAAACATATTATTAATACTAAATAGTTTGATATTAGATTATAACGGTCGCGAATAAATGAAAACGTATATATAAGAAATAAAACTAATATTTTTGGATATTTTTACGAATTTTTTTATTATTTTAAACTACATACTGCCGATGTTTCGGTTAATTTGCACCAACCGTGACGCATACGATATGAAAACGATAAAAAAATGCGTATATTATAAAATATAGGTCTTACCTACATAATAAAGAGAAAGTCATTGATGTTACTTCTTAGTAATTTTTCCAACCTGATTAATTAGAAATATATGGAACTTAATTCATTATTCTATATTACCTGTTTAGAGAGCGATATTAATTTTGTGTTATTTCCATTCATTGATTTTATATGAAAAGAATTCTAAATAACCTTCATATACATATATATTTAAGTCACAATTACACTTACGCTAGTAATTGAACCGTTAATCGAAATTCCCCAATATAAATATATGAAATTATATGATATATCTATATATATAAAAATGGATTGCTGTTCCTTTGTCTCGCTAAAACTCGAGAACAGCTGAACGGATTTATCTTATCTTAGTCTTGAAATGTTCGTGGAGGTTCAGGGAAGGTATAAAAGCTGAAAAAAAAATTAATTTCCGGGAAAACCCTAAAAACAGCGCTTTTCTATTTCCCATACAAACAGGTTTTTTGACATTAGATTTGACAACTAACTAATATGTCGATCATTCTGTCGCACTTTAGAACACGGAGATTTTATGGCTTAAAGGTAAACTCCAAAAAAATAATTAAGAAATAATTTATTTCTTGATTGAAGCAGTACGAAGTCTGCCGGGTCAGCTAGTCTATCAATAAACGCCAATATTCAATAATATCTTTGTTATATGAATTGGTCATAAAAGTATCATGATAATGGCCACTAAAGGTCATGATACATCAATGGTAGACACCTCAATTGTAGGAACAAATCTCAAGTGGTCGACCTAAATATTTATAAGATTTCAATTACTAATAGAAGTTTATTGGATTTGATAGATTTCGTCTCGTTTTCGGCTCAAGACTTCTTATGTATTTTATCCATATAAAGACGCATGTACCTTCTTCTATCTGGCAATTTACCAGCTTTTTTAGCCAGGGTCTGCCTTACATGTTGTAATAGTTTTGGCTAATTGTTTTTACGACCGGCCCCCTGCTTGACATCGACCCTCTTTGGGAATGCATTAATCAGTCATGTCTAAATACTCTTAGAAAGTACATATGACTCGGAAAAATCACATTAGTACTTGACAGGATCGAACCCGCGCCCGCATGCATGAGAGGCGGGCCTTTTAACCACCAGGCCACCACTGACTTATGTATATAACTATATATGTATATATAAAGTTCCATATTCTCTGATAACGAAAATAATATTCCTCATTACGTAATAGCTGTTAAACCTACATAGAATTATTAAAATCAACGTTCTTAATATGTACATACTAAGCCATAATAAATTAAAGTGAAAAATTATTTATGACTCTATTACTAACCCGCTCATTTACGACAAGCGCAACATAATTACCGTTCATTAGACTAACGCTCGCAGTACCCTTAATGAAGTAATTGCTGTACAACCAGCCACAGTCTCGTTTAATGTACGCCAAAATAAGCTTTAACACCAAAAACTAGATGCTAGATTCGTGTGTATAAATGGAACTAGTGCGACGTTTCTGCGAAGTATCTTCATAACTCGACCACCAGCAATGACGACATACTATGATTCATTTTGGTCAGTAATTAAATTGGTTCACTAATAAGACAATTGTAAGGATATTCTGTTGCTCTGTTTGCGAACACTTTGTATTCGTTGAATAATTCTGCATTTTATATCTACATAGTTTAATATACAGTATATATTTGTTTTCGACAAAAGTTGCAAATTTTTGGTAATGTTTGAATATGAATCTCTGTCACTGTTTCGTGTTATTTCTTCATCATTTCATACTAGAATCTTTTTCAATAACAGGAAACTCTTTTCATTATCAAAATTATTTCATATGATAAATTGTCATTTTCTACATATAAAAAATGCTCATATCATACCAAGATTGGATCATCTCATTTAGAACTCTTAGAAGATTTATCTCTTTATACTTACTGATCGAAAGGAGAGAAGATGTTGTGTGGCGGACGAGGATCTGGCTCGCGGGAACCGGCGCTGCCGACTGAAGGGGCGGGAGATGCACAGGTCTCAGATCTGATAGAAGAAACCAGGCTAAGATGAAACCTCATTAAGAAGAAGATATATTTTAGACTAGCTTATTCTAAGAGTGGTCAAGAAAAGAGACGGTGAAGTATGTATAGGATATTTAGTTACATTTAAATTAAATTATCTGGTTTTTGGTAAACTAGTTTAAGTTTAGGTCCCATTAAAAAGGTACTACTTAAGACCAGCTTATTCCAGGAATGATCAATAAAACAGACTTAATTAGTATATGTACAGGATATTTAGCTAGAAATTGGAAATTGGTCACATTCAACCATGATTTCAGTTTAACAAAATTTAAATATCAATTCTTATACTGTTCTAAAAATGGTCAATGAAAATGAATGTATCATTATGAGCAAATTATGCTGAACTAACCTTTCCAATCTTGGTGACCTATTGGGTGAGCGGTGCGGGGAACGTCGAGGCGAGCCAGGAGTTACGGGTGGAGAGGCGCGGGGGGAAACGCCAGTTGACATTGGAGATGCATCCCCAGACCCTCGGGACATACCACACTCCGAAGAACCCTGGAAAAAGAAAATATGTTAAGAATCGTCAAAAAAATGACCTAATCTTGGCCTAATAACAAAAAATGGACCTAAATTGCTCTTAGTATTACCACTCAATCAGATTGCGCATAGAAATTCTGCAAAAAAAATTCTCATTTCAGACGAATTAACTCTCTTTTCTCACCTTATCATCCGCTGGATCTCGTTTTGCCAGAACCTCAGCTCCCTCCCGTTTGCGCTGTTCCTCTTTTAGCCTTTCCGCTTTCCGCCACTTAGCCCGTCTGTTTTGAAACCAAACCTACAACAGAACCACGTCATTCATGTTTTAATCATCAATTCCAAGTCTTCGTATCAAATGTACTTAGTATACGTGATATAGACGAAACAAAGACCCCGTTGAGAAACTACAAACCATAATCCTCTAAAGCTGAGCTGTCAACATGAGGCTTTAATAATATATCATTACAACCCTATTTCGTTGGTATTATAACTCAAAGATTACCCATACCGGTAACATAAGGGAGTGAACCCTCGACCAATATACTTGAACTGCGATTCAATCCGCAGCCACGGTTCCGAGGTACCATATTAATTTTGTTGGTACATAATCACCGTCCAAACGAATGGACCGTCTGTATCATAAAGCAGTGGGCTACGAGGGTCCAAGTTACATTGGTCGTTGTAAGCTAGTTAGCCAAACGCGGCGAGAGGCGAGCCACATTTGTTGTGCAATTTTCGTAATTTACTTTTAATAAGCCCTCTGGTGGATGAGTGCTATGAAATCTCATAGCGATGGTGTTTAAATTTAGTTTCACGCTAACTCACAGACGTAAGGAAAAATTTTATGAACCAATGAAATGTAAGTATGACTTTCTGAGTATTCACTTTCATACTAATCTCATTAAGTACTCTTTATTTATTTTTGTTTTTAACTTTATATTTTATTCTATGTTTTATATCAAAATATATTTAGTTTTTTTAAGTATATATAATAGTAATGTGTCTCGTCTGTGACGTTTAATCTTTGACATGTTCGGGATCCACATTAGCCCTTAACGATGGTAAGCTAATTTAGTTAAAATAATAAACCCTCTGTAATCCGGTCATCCCTAATAGTTTTTATCTCTTATGAGGGTGGAATTAATATTTCATCACGTCGAGACAGCCCTCCACACCCCCTTAACATAACTTCATTGTTATGAGATTTTTGAAGTACACTTTTAATAGCACTGGCAAAATAAATACAAAGCTCCATTTTGTGGATAATCTTTGTTCTTTCTTTATAATATTTTGGTAAAGGCAAATACTTTTTAAAGCAATTATGAATAGAATAGTAGGTATAGTTTTGTTTAGAAGTTTGATAAACCAGTTTATAAAGACCCATTTCGTTTCGAAATCAACATATACCTAAATTACTAGATCGTGATTCTACCAAATAATTCCTATCCTTTTTCAATATAGCCATTTCACCCTACTTTGACAAGGTTTTAACCTCTAAAACACATGTCATAACATACTACCATGTCACTTTTACTTACATCAACCACTTTACACTGACACTTTCCAACCCTAGCTGCTTCCACTTAAAGTACGTGTTCGGGGGAGACTAATAAATTGTTATAGATCAACCTAAATTTGTCATATTATAGCAAACAATATGCAACATCTATATTCTAAATTGGACTCGATCTCCATGATTTTAAGGTGTATTTTGGTTGGAATTTATCTTATAAGGGGTGTTTCGAACAGTAGGGGTGCGGTAATTACCTACTGTTCGGTAAGCGACGATTGTTTGTTCAACTAGCAAGTGTTAAATAATAACAAATTCATTGTTTGCCTTGTAAAGAGACTACCGGGCGGTCTCGTTAGAGCTCACACAATCATTAAAAATATATTCTAAATACTTCCATTGTTAAACAAATTTCGGGTGGGCATTATAGATTGACTATTAATAGTTTACTAAATAAATATAAATAATAAACTAAGTTATTCCGCTATAATAGAGAAACAAAAGCGTAACCGATCCATAACTTAGAACAAATTTATTAATGAAGATAATTTCCTTAAATTAATCTTCTAAGCAGCACCCGATTAAAATTCCCCTTAATACAGCTAGATAATTCAGGTACAAACATATTATCTGCTATACACGTTCCATTTTACGCGAATTACACCACTCTCAACGGCGAATCTAATTACTTAGCGGTTGAGACGCTTCACTTGGATGTGGTTTTATTATATATTATAATACTATGAATGATAGAGCCTTTGTATTGGGAACAAATTAGGATAGGATTAAGCTATAATCATCTATAATAGTATATAATTAGAACTGATTTTTGTGTGAGAAATTGTAGAATTTCTTTTCGGATCGTAGGTAAATCAAGTCATAATTCGCAAGTACTCTGTACTATAGTTTACATATTATATATATATATATATATATATATATATATATATATATATATATATATATATATATATATATTATTCAAATTATAGAAGTAAATTCTGAACCTTTTTCTATATTTAATTTAACAATATATCATATATTATATAAAAAATATTAAATATTAAATTGCCGTATCCAAAATTTATTAGTCAGTAACATAAAGCTAAGAAGCTTCGGATGTTAGTCTGGGATGAAGAAGATTTGCTTGATCCCTCGAGTAGGGGCGGGGATCAATTTGTTAAGAGTAAAAAAGTATATGCTTTTATAACGAAATAATATATATAATTGATAATAATATTTATTATTATAACATATATATATAATGAGTTAAAATTATCACAGGTAAATGGATTTTTAAAGCAAACATATATCATCATCATCATCAGAGTCCACTTGAGCAAGCCTCTTCTCACATGGAGAAGACTTAAGAATTAATCACCACGCTTGCTCAAGACGAGTTGGTGATTTCAAACTTATAATTAGTAATTATAAATCTAGGTTTCCTCACGATGTTTTCCTTCATCTGTCAGTGATGTCTAAATACTCTTAGAAAGTACATATGATTCGGAAAAATCACATCAAACACGAGTTGCCTTTAACCACTAGGCCACCACGACTGTGTGTCAGTCACGTCAGTCAGTCAGTCAGTCAGAATGTCATTGATATATTTATTATTTATTTATTTATTTATTCTTTATTGCACAACATACTAAAACTAAAGAAATTACATTTTCGTTATATGTATATTACATGCATGAGGTGCAACAGGCGGCCTTATCGCTAAACAGCGATTTCTTCCAGGCAACCTTTGGGAAGAAATCGATTATTTAAACATAGAGACTAAGTTTTATATAAAACCATCTCGAACATTTCGTTAAATTCGTTTCCTACCAAGCTTTTAAAGTCTTAACTCGCTAGCTTGTCTTGATACGTCAATCAAAATCACATTCGCTGAGTTTGTACGAGAAATTTTAATACATCGCTAACTTACGCAGCGACATGTGGCCTGACGTTTAGAGACGGTTCATTTATACTGTACGATATATCGGAAGCGTGACGATATGTCGTGAGGTTCTCTTAAATTGCAATTGTATGGGCGTTAATAGTTCTTACGAAAAAATACTTTATTTTATATTTTGGTATTATAATTTCATCATCATCAGCCTATCAGAGCAAACCACTGAGCAAAGGCGTTATCTCATATGGAGAAGATTTAATCAATAATTATTATTTACATATTTGAAAGCTAAGCAAAGAAATATTGTGATATATTTAAGGCGATGTCGTGATATCTAAATGTTATGAAGCGAGTCCCGTAATATATTTTCAGCGGTCTTTAACACTAAGTTCCGAGTTTGCCGTATGAAGTGTTTTAAAACATTATGTACGCTGACGCAATTAACGGATAACTTACAGTCTAAGTGGGGAGTTAGCGTTTTCAACGTGCATTTATAAGTTTTACTTAATAATGAGGATTATGTATGAAATAACCGCTCCTTAAATATAACATAAAGCAGAGATTATATATATATACAGGGTGACTGGTGAATTACTATCAATATTTAAGGAGAATACTCGGTACATGATTCTCATTCGAATTTAAAAAAATAGGTTCTTAATTTTTGACCAAATTTCCGTATAAATAAATAAAGTGTGGACACGTTCCAAGTGTTCCAAGTGTGGACGCGTGCGGCGGCGTGCTGATACAACACTACGCCGCCGCACGCGTATGTGTGTGTGAGTGTATACCTAATCTGTAGGGTGTTCACACGATGCGTCATTAATTACATAACTTTTGGTTAACTTTACTTAGAAGTTTATTAATATTTATGTTATATTAATTTTTATTTTGTCATATATGATCATCAAATATCACGTCCTCAAGTATCGATAATAATTCACCAGTCACCCTGTATATATATATTGTTAGATACATAATGTAAGTGAAATGCAATTTGTTTCATCGAATATTGAAAATCAGAGGAGCACATCAGTGGATAATTGTCTCGATATAAAACCTTCATGGATGAGAGAATTCCATTAGTTCGAAGCATTATTGAAATATGATATGAAAACGGAGAAATTTATACAGATTATATATAATGTAGCTTCATATTTAACAACCACAGATATATAATAACTACGAAGCAATCACAGATAATAAAATCTATTTCAAAACAATACAGGTTCAATAAAACATAAATAAGTTCGCACTTCATTCACCCCCCATATCAAAAGAATGATTGATAAAGAGCTGAGAGCCGCGTCAAGTAGCGGAATGAATGAAACATACGGAAAAGGTTCACTAATTAAATACAAACTCCATTCAAAAGAGATCACGACTTTTTTTAATGAAAATTAATTATAACTAAAAAATATTATAGTAAAACATGTTTGCATTGTCTAGTAATTATTATAGTATAATTTAAAAATGGAACAACTCAATATTATTCGTTTTTTTTTAAATAAAACATTTGACATTTATAGAACTGACAAATCGATTTTAGTCTATGAAGGTTTGATATGACATATCATTTTATTTTTATAAAAAATTGTATCAAAAAACTTTGAAAGGTCCATACAATAACAGGCTCAAACTCATTGTGGCTTTCTTTTTAATGAGTCGGCATGTGGCATGTGGTTTATGGCTTGGCATTATTCAACCAATTTGCCACAAGAACGCGATATGACGCGTCGTTAACAATTGTCACACGGGGTAGGGTTGCGTCTCGTGGGGATGGTCACAATAATTCATTATTACGCAATGAACCCTTTGACTGTCCCAGAAAGTGGGATACACTGAATTTAATCGTTACATTTGTATAACAATCATTATCTACTTCCCTAAGATGTGTTTAAATTGGCGTTAAACGAAATTACTTTTATTGTTTTTTATATAATCACAAACACTCAAATAATGAACTAACACTGTTTACGGAGCTCTTGTAAATTACGTGTGAAGCGTGCTTATATTTTAAACAATGCCCCCTACTCTCAGTTTGGAATTGTTTACGCGCAATTTGCTTGTCGAGTGCTTTACAGTACCATTGAGACAGATTGAGATTCGTTTCTATTGTACTAATTGATCTTACCTTAATTTAACATTGTTTTCTAAAGATTCTTTATTTATTATTAATAATAATATCTGTTTTAATTAAAGAAATTCTATTATCTATATCCTTTAAACTGATATTTCGTAATGTATACTTGTAGTTATTCTATGTTATATAAAGAACATCAACTAGAATTTGCTTAAACATTAATATAAACAGTTGTAGTAGTATATTTAAAACTACATTTATTATAGAATAAAGTAAATAAAAGTCTCAGTATAAATAATATTACACAAGACATGTTACCCACACACAGAATCCACTGTCCGAGTGAAACATTTGATACCATTTATGGCATTTAGTGAAAAGGTATTTTACGTTGTGGTAATCCAATATGTCAGACAGCTGCCATGTTTTTATATTTTTCGGGCGAATTATCACCGACACGGTCGAATCAAATTGAAAGCGGGCTCAATTATATTAGTACTGGGTAGGGATGAAGATTATTCTGCTTTCGGTTTAGCTAAATGTAACAATAATGTTTGAGATTTGATAGTAATCATCTCTCTATATATTTATATACATTATTTATAGCAATTAGAGCAAAAATAACGAAGACATCCACGTATATAAAGTAAATTTGATCACAAAAGTTTGAAACAAATTAATTGTATTACAAATGATATATGCTTATTACTGTGTCATAATATAAATATTTCTTCATTTAATATTGATTCAAAATAAATAAGCAATAAAGTCCAAAATCACTTAAGATAGTTAAAGGTAACCAGACACCCCTAAACCCAGGGGGTTGAGTCGGGAGTGTAATACCATTTCTAGATGAGAACCTTAAACATGTTACCACTAACCAGTATATATTGAACTCTACATAAAGCTATTCCATACTTGTTTTGCATCTGATATATTTTTATTATAACACATAGTAAAATAAATAAGGTTTATATATTAGTCAATAATACGATTGAAATATATAGATCTAAACTAATAATTGAATATTTTAATGAAATTATAAGAAAATAATATTAGTTTTTTTTAGAAATATATCGTATTTATGATATAGATGAATTCACACAATATATCTTTGTATAATAAACAATAAACTGAGAATTGAAGCAATAATAAAGTAATCTGTTTAATTCTTATACATGTGTGTATTTCAAATGTCTATTCTGTCCTTGTTACTAAATTCCATCTTACTTAAAGACCAAGTAAACTGGTCACCTATCTACAAACTGTTTGACGGAAATTGAAGTGTTTTGACAATACCAGTTAACTAATGGAAGCGAAATGGAATTGGAATTCGATAGGCTAGTAGTTTGGCTGAGTGCTCCCGTTTCAGAATTGAGCTGTTTTAAACACTAATTTAATATAGCTACTTCATTTATTATACTTATATATACATTGATAGTTCTACGTCAATTTTAATAGGTACTTCTGAAAGGTTTTACTATTAATTATTTCATCGCTTCCCTTCGGAAAAGCATTATTTGTATATTTTAATAAGGATTTTCAACGTTTATATAATACTTAAATGCGTTTGAAACAGATCTCATTCCTATATACAAAGACGATGTCTATTAAGTCTAACCGTTTACATTGTATCCCAAAGCATCCCATTACCATTCAACAGATTTCCGAGTCACATACAGCGGTCGTAAAACGTGAACTACACGAGACATGCCAGCCACTAAATTGTAGCTTTTTCGTGTACCGCCGACCGAATTGGGCAATTTTTATTCACAACATAAATAAAACACATAGCGTGGAGCAATTTCCCTAAAACCGGGCGCGTAACACACCTAAACGAGTACATAATGTAGGTAATACACTCTAAGTCTCGGCTTTGTAATCACATGTGACGGCTACATATATCACGGGATGAGAAATTTAAGTAAAAAAAAACACTTACGGCATAATAATGTAATGGATTTTACCTAATTCATGTCTTGTTTATTATAAGAGAAGTATATAAGACCACTAAAAGATGGGTGGTCCATTAGGTATGGTTCTGATTAGCAAAAGACACAGAAAAAACAAATCTTTAGAGGCCTATGTCGAAATACAAGTTTATTTAAGTGTTTTTTAAAGCGAACTTCGATAAACGATTTAATTATAAGTAATATAAGATAGTAGATAGTATTTGTAAGTTAAAAAAGCAATAAATGCTAATTTTATTTTTATTTTACTTATAGGAATAAGGTCGGCTATCTCTGAGTGAGCTGTATATCATAAAATAAGGCACACGTCTGGATAGAACATGAAATAGTTAAGTTAGTGGCTCAAACGAATGTGTCATATCCAATGTTATGTGAGGTGTTCTGGGCTACAAGATGGATATCAAGTCTGGTCGGAGTTTTACTGCTTGTGAATTTTAAGAGGTAATACGATATATATAGCTTATATCAAAACTGTTATTACGTTATAAAAATATATGTATAATATACTTTGATTTATTATGAATAGTTTTGATTCGTCATCAGCCTATTAGAGCCCACTGCTGAGCAAGCCTCTTTTCACATGGAGAAGGTTTGAGCATTAATCACCACGCTTGCTCAAGACGGATTGGTGATTTCAAACTTATACATAATTAAATTATAAATTTATTACATGTTTCCTCATGATATTTTCCTTTACCGTATGTCAGTCATGTCTAAATACTCTTAAAAGGACTCTGAAGAATCACATTGGTACTTTCCAGGTTTCGAACCCACGCCCGTTTAAACGAAAGGCGGGGCTTTAACCACTAGGCCATAACGACAATTAATAAGATAAGAATAATAAGATGTAATTACCTGTACTCTAGCTTCCGTGAGGTTTATCTTCAGTGCTAGATCCTCTCTCGTGAACACATCTGGGTAATGTGTCTGTGCGAACGCCGTTTCCAGCTCTTCCAACTGATAAATGAAGAATATTTATTAGATCAGGATATTGTAGCTTACGGTCTAGAAGCAATATCGGTTAATGTGGTAATAAAACAAATCATAGGAGGATTCAAAATGGGACCAAACGTTTTACCACAATGTGTCCCAAGCTTTAGATGAAACATTGCCTTATATACATTGTACATAAGAGGTATAAGGCTTTTTGGGATCAACAAAGAAAAATCTATGTTCTTAATAGATATTATTAGAATTGTATTATATTTTTCGGATACATAAAGTAATTAGTTTTCTCATAATGGTTTTTAGTTTTCTCATTATGGTTTTCAAACCGTATGAAAAACATGACTTCCACTTAGGTGCCTTTTGGAATAAGATATTTTAAAATTATTTCACAAAGGTGTGATTCAGACATAGTTGAAGTTATAAACTTTGTAACTTTGTTTGTTGATAAGGAATTGCCTTGTTTATTCATCTACGATTTCTTGTAATTAAATGGAAATTATTATATTAAATGGTCTCCAATATATGTATATACAAAAATATATATTAATTATTAACATTTACACTAGTATCATTAATATGTAACTGTAGATGAAAAACTGAACTGCTAAAAGAAAATACAGCAAAATATATAACCAAAATTGTACACTTAATTATACTTTTAACTCTAAATGAGTATGATATTAAAATAACTCTAATTTTAACTCTAAAATAGTCACCTGCTGTAATGTAAAGGTGGTTCTGTTCCGTCTCTGCTTCCTTCTAACGAAGGTATCATCGTGAATGGCGGGGTGGTAGGAATAACTGGTGTCTAAAAACATTTAAAGGTATATTACTAACAAAGTATTATTCTAAGAGCTGGCAACGTTTTTGAACAAGCATTTCAGGTAGGCTAGTTTTTAGATATGCTATCTCTCACACTCCCCTGGACGTCCTACGGGCTATCTGGCTGCCGGTAGTGGTTGCGTTCATCAGTGCGCATCGTACTTGTGGAGGTAAAAAATTAATATATCAAATCATTTTAAGAAGGTTTTTTTATTATTATTATTATTATTGAACTATTCACAACATAAATTGATTATTGCCAGGTAGTTTTATTGTTGTTTAAACGGTGCCAAGCGGCAATTTTGAATTAAAAATTTATTTTTTTTCAAACTATTTTAGTATAGCTGAAATTTTAATAGCATGATATTTAACTATCTAAAAGCTCAGAATTAATTTGCCAGGAAAAAAATCGGTTGTAAACTTTTGCCAGATCGAAATAAAGTGTAAAGAGATGTAGTATCATTTAGCTTGGTCTAGAAAATTAATCGTCTAATAAATGATGGAAGAAGGATTAACAACTATTGAATTTATTTATAGATGAATACGGTATAAAAATAATACTTTATTGTTGTACAAAATTGAGATAATGATCAATGCTAAGTTTGATCTTCATCACTGCTGTCATTTCCATTGTCATCATCGTCCTTAAAATTATTATCATTTTGTAATAAGCTGTTATCTGTAATAGAATCAAAAATTTTAATATCTTTCGAGAAATATTTTTTTTTGTATTTTAGTTCAAATTTTTACCTTTAATAATAATATCGGCAACTAATGTTGGTAATTGCTCCCCAACAAACCAGATAAAATCATATTTATCATCATTAATGGTCCAGCCAGAAGCTTGAGGTGATAGAGATGTTGGGTATTTTAAATAAGCATTTCTCCAAAACGTTGTGACATAACGAACTCGTAGTAAGTGTTGATATAACTCAGCTTTACTCGGTGGTAGACTTGATGGATCAAAATTACGGAACTTTTTTTCAAAATTATACGATAGGGTTTTAGAAATCATACGTGAAGCGGTTAGTCTTTCGGTAGCCAGAGCGCTTTTCCAAAATTAACATTGATCATTATCTCAATTTTGTACAACAATAAAGTATTATTTTTATACCGTATTCATCTATAAATAAATTCAATAGTTGTAAATCCTTCTTCCATCATTTATTAGACGATTAATTTTCTAGACCAAGCTAAATGATACTACATCTCTTTACACTTTATTTCGATCTGGCAAAAGTTTACAACCGATTTTTTTCCTGGCAAATTAATTCTGAGCTTTTAGATAGTTAAATATCATGCTATTAAAATTTCAGCTATACTAAAATAGTTTGAAAAAAAAAAAAATTTTTAATTCAAAATTGCCGCTTGGCACCGTTTAAACAACAATAAAACTACCTGGCAATAATCAATTTATGTTGTGAATAGTTCAATAATAATAATAATAATAAAAAAACCTTCTTAAAATGATTTGATATATTAATTTTTTACCTCCACAAGTACGATGCGCACTGATGAACGCAACCACTACCGGCAGCCAGATAGCCCGTAGGACGTCCAGGGGAGTGTGAGAGATAGCATATCTAAAAACTAGCCTACCTGAAATGCTTGTTTTTTTGACGTTGCTAGCTCTCGTACCATATAGTCCTAATATAGTTTCTTATATAAACTATGTATTATAAAACGTTTTTCTTCATGTGATAATCATGAGGTATTGTAGTGAAAGAGTTTTTGATATTATGAATTGTAAAAAGTTTTTCCTATCTGCTAAGAATGATCAAGGATTGTAGATAGGTAGTTGAATACAGCGAAGAAAACATAGTTCTAGAAGAATATAGAATATTTTTTTCTAAGCTTCTAAAGTTTGAAGAATGTTTTAACAAACTTTTACTTAAATTGTACTTTTTCTCAGAATTTAAGCATTTAAAGGTAGGTACAGGATTAATTTGAATTTTTAAATTAACATCGAATGATTGGTTTTTTATAAACAAGTTAAATGCAGTTTAGCCAAAACATAAATACATTTATTCTATAGAAAATAGTTGCTTTCTGTAAAAAAATTACTGAGAAGAGCTCAATCCTTCATAGACGTAATTCATAAGTTAAGCAAACTCTGTCGCTGTCAAACTTGGATGGGTAATCAAATTAAATATATCAAAAAATATATAAGCAATAAATGACCGGTCACTTTGAACCCTAATAGCGTTTAAAATATCCCAACCCAGTCTCTACAAACAAAAAGTCACTAAGCTAATAAATGTCAATGATCACCAACAAAAAAAACGAAGGACACTATCAAAATATCATAAAAAAACAACAATAATAGTTCCAATGTATGGTGGCCATAAAATAACAGTGAATCCGGAAGGAACGCTCCATTACGTAAAAGTGCTAAATCGCCCCAGACATTAGGGCAATGAACAGTCCATGGGAATTGATGAAGTGGAGACACCATTGTGTAGGGTGCATATAAATTAGACTTTATTACCCTCTTTAACTACTTGAGTGGTTTCTAGAGTTATACAGATTGTTTCTTGATTCATATGGAATGTTCATATTTATTTTATAATAGCTTTTGTATAGAATAAATTTATATAATATATGTATGCGCTAAAATTGATAAATAATTTATGGAACATATTATACTTATATTGAATGATTTAGAATAAAAAAATCATAAACACGAGCGAGGTTTGGGCCTGTAGCCGCTGGAACAACTAAAACAATAGGAATTTAAAGATTTAGGTTTAAAAGAAATATAAATTAGGAAGTTTTTTAACTCAGGATAAATCATCGTTTGTCCAGAATTTAACGACGTAAAAAACTAATATTGCCAGAAAAAAAAACACAATGCTATTTAATTCAATATCTCGAAATCAAATCGTATGTGTATAACATTCATGTATTTTTAAGTTTTTTATATAAATTTCATATATGAGATTTTCGTTTTCATGAAATATAATTTAAAATAATCGTCATAATGAGATCTAAGACATTCACTAGCATTCATTTAAATGAAACTAATATTTACAAATAACTATGCGTATTTTATCTCGTCTGCCCGTGATCACGGTTGCTGCAAAGTAACCGAAACGTTGGCACTAAGTAGTTTAAAATAATAAAAAATGATTAGTAATCCGTAAAATATTCGTATCATTTAAAATTATTGTCACCCTAATCAATACGATACGAACCCTCTATCATTACTGATAATGTCATTCCGAGACATTACTGACGTCGACATCTGGCTCATCTTATGCTTACCCTAAGTCCGCGTTACCATAATACATACTGAAAGTTTAACGTTTATCGTACATAATATAGTATTAAGTATCGACTGAGAATCCATTTTAATCGAATCATAATACTATTTACTCAGTTAATATATTCCTTTTAACGTTTACTGATAATTATTTTATACGAAATACTTTTATATCGAGAACTAAACGAATATCAGAAGTAATTAAGACATAATCGAATCGTTTTTAAAAATCGTTCGATGTTCAATCGGTATCGTTCACTTATTTTTTTAATACGCTTTGGCTTTTTAAAATCGTGACGTCATAAAATTTTGGCGTGATTGCGAGATTAAAAGTCTGTGTTTTAATAAAAAAAAATATTTAATAGCTATTGTCTATCAGAAGCCCACTGCTGAGCAAAGCCTCTTTCTCACATGGAGAAGGTTTGAGCATTAATCACCACGCTTGCTCAAGACGGGTTGGTGATTTCAAACTTATAATTGTGAAACTATAAGTCCAGGTTTCCTCACGATGTTTTTCTTCACCGTATGTCAGTGATGTCTAAATACTCTCAGAAAGAACATATGACTCCGAAAAATCACATTGGTACTTGCCAGGTTTGAACCCGCGCCCTCGACAACTAGAGGCGGGCCCCTCAACCACTAGGCCACCACTGACATAACAGAGAAATAAAAAAATATCTTCGTTGATTTGTGATTTATATAGCACCTAACAGTACTATCAATTAACTTTAAATGAATAATCAAAATTATTCTAATATTTAAATAAAAACCGACCAAGTCCCGGTTAGACCACTTAATCTACGGATAAAGGATTACAAGCAGTCATTAATTGAATATAAATATTTCAGCGTTCATCAAGTAGGTTGTAGAAAAATCCCTCAACAACGGAAATTAAAAAGTATTCGACTTCCGTTAGCAGCTTAAGTGCAGCGGGGAAAGTTTGACCAGTGCATAGCCTTTTAAAGGGTTGGATTATGTTTTATGTACACCTACAAGTGTTATATAGATGAACTTATGTATTAGAAATACCTAAAGGCCTTGTTATTAGACAGAATTTTTGTATCGCTTGGTTACAACTTTAGTTTGTTTAAAAACTTCCAATATTAGATAAAATTTCGACGGATAAATAACTAAATTATCATATCGGTATTATTTATAAAAGTAAATATAATTATTATCCTTTGATTATTATAAAAACAGTACGGGGAGTCACTAATTGGAAGTGACATTATCCTTATTAGTTTAGTGTAAGTGAGTTAGAGCGGCGCGACTCAAAAACTATTTTATGAATAATAGATACAACCGGCGACCAATCCCTGGGGAGGCAGCCACGCCCCTCCCCTGCACCCCTTCGATCTGCACCCCTGCACCCCTCAGCCGGCGGGCGCACCCCTCGCACCCCCGCCTTCTATTCATTAGCACATTACCACCCCTAACACCCATTCGGGATAAGAAACTGATTTTTATCTCATCCCGTTGTTCTGTTATTATTATTATATTACTTTTTTTTATAATAAAAATTAAATTATTTTTTTTTATAAATAAAAAACATTGTTTTTAAAGTTTATTTAATTTAATTTTGTTTGATATGTAGGTAACAAACAAGATTTTAATTATTTTGGATTGGATATTATTATTTGTCACTTTTGTTAGTCTGTGCGGAGGGTTTATAATCTATGTTAAAGTTTGTCGACCCTGAACGAACTAAAAGATTAAGATATTACGTATATCTTTTGATGCTTTACAGTAATTTTATATATAGGATTATAAAAATAAAATATTAAAGATTTTCATATTACTTTGTACAAACAAATATATAGAGTATCTATTATTTTGTCTTTTATATAGATTAGTCTAATAACATTACCTACTGCTGCAGAACCGAAAAATCTTTATTTAATCTGTACCTATGTAATTGATAATTATATAAAATTAAAATAAAAATAAAACAGAAATAACTAAATTAAAAGGAAGTTAAAAATGCTAAACAATGTGTCGCTTTTTATTTATGGTTTTATATATTTTACTCCAAAATAAAAATTGTATTAAATATGACAAGTATATAAATAAATTTAATTGGCAACATCAACCAAAAAAATATATATTTTTAAACAAGAATTTCTCTCCATTATGTATATAACAACAAACATCCAATACCATATAAAGTACAAACAAAACTCATTTGTATTCACTCAAAGTTATTATACCAAGGAGGTTTTATACTGTACTACCAAGGAGGTTTTATACTGTACTACCAAGGAGGTTTTATACTGTACTACCAAGGAGGTTTTATAACACTGTTCTTAATTATTATACCAAGGAGGTTATATAACTCAAACCTCTTTAATTAAAGTGTCTCTAATAATACTTACAGGGATGCGATGCTGTGAATGGGTACTCCAGGGTTGGAAGACGATGCTGGTGCGGGGGCAGGCTCGGCGGGCAGTGATAGCAGAACAAACCGCGCCCGCCGCCCGGCCCGCTCGCCAGCTACACAGAAATAGAGCAAACTTTATAACATAGATAAAAGAGAAAACACCACTAAAAAAAGAGAAGAATTAGTATGAAGATTATGTACCAAGTGGAATTAAAATAGATTTGGTTGAAGCTAAAACTTAAGTTACTTTTAACTAGATATTTCGTCTCAATTTAAAAGTTTTTATCTGTTTAAAATGTGCTGGATGTATGCCTAGATAGATCGGAAAAACTATAGTTCGGTTTAGTTTATATTAAAAATAATCCATTTATATAAACTTACTGTAAACCATTCTTCTAAAATCTAAAACTGACAATATTTTAGTTAAACTACAAAACAATTTGACGGCAGACCTTTACTTATTTCTCAAATATTAGGTCTTCGATTATTGTCATTTCAGTTTAATAAAATTAAAAATATGTACAAAAACTAAGTATCCTTAGATTATTTTCCATATTAATAAATAAATAAACCTCCAGGATTAGCATCTATTAAAAAAATTACCTCTATCTATGTCATATGAAATTAAATAACGTTTTATGCATACCATTGTAATAACTGCAAAATATCGATTATTCATATATAATATCGATATTACAGCCACGTATGTCTAATTATCATAGCTTTCAAAACAACTTAATGACACGGCGCTACAAGATGTTTATTGTTGACTGATTGTTACGGCTCGCTCGATCACAGGGTGTAGTACATATTATTGAATATTAAACTGCTAGTACGCCGACAATGATTGCGTATGCAATAGATTCGCATTGTCTTTACTTTTTGCCTAATAATATATGTACTAGCATTCCGCCCGCAGCTTTTCCCGCGTGGAGTGCGGCTATATCGCGTTTCCAAGAGAACCTTTCAAAATTTTGGGATAAAAACTATCCTATGTTCTTTCTCAAGGTTAACTTTATCTGTACCAAATTTCCTTAAAATCTGTTCAGTGGTTTAGTCGTGAAAGCGTAACAGACAGAGAGACAGACAGAGTTACTTTCGCATTTATAATATTAGAAGGGATGTTGTTATTCTATATTTCACCTAATATAACAAAATGAACATCGCCGGGTCAAAATCGTTGTATGTATAAAATATCATATAACGAGTGACGCTGCTGACTCCGTGGAACGAAGACCAAGCCGTGTGAACCAGAAGATTCCTGATACCACACAAGCTATGGAATGGAATTGCTATCCTAACATCGGGTCAATCATGTAGTCTTAGGTATTATAGGTTATAAGTTTTATGTAATTCGTATTATAATATACATATAAGTAAATTTCGTAGTTTTCCTGGAACCTTTGCTACCCTATATAATTGTTATACATATAACTCGTCGGACACAAACTTTAAAATCTTATTGTAACTCCTACAAAGTACTGCTGAATTCTGTAAATAATTTTTGAGGAAATGCATTCTTTTAAAATCAAAATCACATAATTTTAAACTATTTAACCGCAGATTTAATTCGTTAAATATAATTTAATTTGTACTTTTATAACAGATTGACTTTTTAATGTATTATTTCAAATATAATTTAAACAATTTAACCAGCAAATGAACCATCAAAATAATTGATTTATATTTTTCGCTTCCTTTATTCTACGTTTGTATAGTTAGTGAGTTGACTTTAACGAAGCAAACTTTGCAAAACAATGCTATTAAAATCGATTGACTTATAATATTAAAACTTATTATACATATATGCTCATATAGATCCTCATCTCGTCTGCCCGTGATCATCGATGCAAAGTAACTCAAACGTCGGGAGTATGTAGTTAAAAATATAAAAAATGCGTCGTAAATCCGAAAACATTACTTTAATTTCAATATACAGGGTGACTGGTGAATTACTATCAATATTTAAGGAGAATACTCGGTACATGATTCTCATTCGAATTATGTAAAAAAAATAGGTACTTAATTTTTGACCAAATTTCCGTATAAATAAATAAAGTGTGGACACGTTCCAAGAGTTCCAAGTGTGGACGCGTGCGGCGGCGTGCTGATACAACACCACGCCGCCGCACGCGTGTGTGTCTGTATACCTAATCTGTAGGGTGTGCACACGATGCGTAATTAATTACATAACTTTTGGTTAACTTTACTTAGAAGTTTATTAATATTTATGTTATATTAATTTTTATTTCGTCATATATGATCGTCAAATATCACGTCCTCAAGTATCGATAGTAATTCACCAGTCACCCTGTATACTCGCAAAAGTCGTTTATCACATATCTCAAAACAAATCCGAGTCCTTTAATATCAATTTTATCGAATAATATCATTATTAAAGGAAAATGCCCATGGGATTCAATTGCGGGCATTATGTTTGACCCACGTGCTATCAAAACGTTTTATATAAACGCTAATGAGCAGTGGGGCGGTCGAGCGATGCGCGGGCGCATTACAGTGACGTCATACACCAATTGCTTATACAATTGTTACAAATTTTTATATTAATTTGGCCCTATCACAGAACTCTTTCAAAAGTCTTTATTATAATTGGTATAATGAGATAATTTTATTAGATTAAGAAACTGCACAATAATTGTCATTTAACACTTTTAGTGGCACATGTGAAGCATTTAATCGAGTTTGCATACACCAAATACTTATTATGCTAATACTCTTAGACTTCTGTATTGATACTTATTAAGAATTATTAAGAAGCACCGCAAGGCAAATAGCTTTAAATGAACAAAAAATGACATTGAAATTAGTGGATTAGTTTGAGAGGTATGTTTGATAGATATGCCACAGACAGATATCGATGTCAAAGTAATAATAACCCCTTTTGTGCGGAGGTTAAAATACAGATCAAAACACTAAGACTTTTATCTATATATATAAAAATGGTTTGCTGTTCCTTAGTCTCGCTAAAACTCGAGAACAGCTGAACGGATTTATCTTATCTCAGTCTTAAAATGTTTGTGGAGGTTCAGGGAAGGTATAAAAGCTGAAAAAAATTGATTCATTACTGGGAAAACCATTAAAACAGCCCTTTTCTATTTCCCATACAAACGTTTTTTTTGACATTAGATTTGACAACTAACTAATATGTCAATAATTCTATTTGATTGAAACAGGAAAAACCTGATTATTTATGGCCTCTAAGAAGGAATAGAGTTCGCCTGGTCAGCTATACCTACATATATTACTCTTGACCAAACTAACACGGACGAAGTCGCGGGGATAAACTAGTGTAGTATAAATCTATAAGCAACCTTTTTTTGCCTTTTAAGGCCTATTACACCTACTTTATATCAATAGCTAAAGGAAAGCTCTATAGAAAACGATCACCGAGCATTACTAAGTTATTTTTGATAGTTAATTTCCCTTCCTAAATTGGTATGTATGATTTTGAATATGAATATTTTAGGTACATGCATAGCACCGTACGCCGTGTATTGGCTCGTCCTGTCTGCGCGCGTGGGGTCGATATAATCCCATTTATATTATGTCATTATCGCATTACACCCACGGCATCCGCATGCACCAACCTTGACTTCACTGACTAAACTGAATGCGTTCCTAGTTCATACTTTGGAAAATTAACAAAATCTGGTAAGAGTATCCGATTTTATTATATATGTGATCTATATTTGGTTAATCTTGAAGTAATGAATGAATTTTGAAGTAAATTCTGTATTTATTCTTTATCATCAGTGATAATCAGCCCACAGATGGTCATAGGCTTCTCTTTCATTTAGCATTATATCCAGCTATTCTTCTCCAACCGTTAATCTATACTTTATTTATTCAGGTACGACTATCTAATTTTTTTTTTTTGTAAATTGACAGTGACAGTTAACTTTTTTATTTACAAAAACTTTTATCAGATAAAATCACGAAAACAAAAAAGGTGTTTAATTGTCAAAACTAGGTACCTATTATTCCACATCAATCTATGCAGACTTCATATGAATACGAATAAAAATGACTAGTACTGTACGGATCATCGTTTAGTTTCTTAGATAATGATCACAGCTACTTAATTCATTACAAGCATTCAATGAAGGCTATTAATAATAGAATTCACAAACAATACTAATTCATTTCAGGTTTCTGTTAACGAAGGCGAGATTGTCGACACTGGAACAACACTTAGATCGAAAAGCTTTGTGCACACCGCCTTGTGTGGTGTGAGAACTGATTTTATCAAGACCAAATATATGTTTTATTATTTCTTATCAACTGGCTCTAAATACACATATGAGGAAGATTTTTTTAAGAACATACCTGAGCATAATATGATGAAAATTTGAAATATTTTACTAATTGTAAGTACAAAAATTAAAATCTTTTTATGTCTTCAATGATATCTTCAAAGAAATATAGTATGACAAGAAATAACATTAAAATAAATATGAAAATTCAATCATTTTGTTATAATTATTAATAATTATCAACTCCATATATAAAAGCGGCTAAATAATTAGTCAATGATACAAATTAATCCAATTCATCGGATCCGAATTCAAATTAAACGATACAAATGTAATTTCACTGCAAAATTTTGTTTGTTCTCATTTAGATTGAATTTAACGTTTGATCTGTAGCAAGATGTGTTTTAATTGGAATTTTGTTTACATTGTACATTCGATTTACCAGCTTTTTATTAAATAAAAATAATATTCTTTTAATATTGATAATAATACAAGATGAAAAATTCAATATAAATGTATACACAAAGAACGACTGAACGTATTAATGACGCATAATTCAAATGCAGAACGAATGACGTACAAATTCATTCAATTCAATTGATACAAATAATTTTATGATCAGCCCGCCGCCGGTATGGAACAATCAATAATATTTAATCACAGTGCCTCTACAACTCGTTCATTTAATATCGGAGTTTTATAAAGTGTAATGGATACCAATTGAACAGTTTAAATTAACTATTAATAACGGGCAATGATTCTATCGGGCCGCGGCGATCGGATACGCGTACCAACTATTGTATTGTATTTAATTATACATCCATACTTAAATAAAAAAT